CCTCCCAGCCTAGTCTGTCCCCCTTCCTACCAACTCCAGCAGAGCCAGTTCTTGACTCTAGAACAAGCCCATGGAGAACCACTGGGGTCAGGGGCTAATTCACAGGTCAGTAGCATGCACTGCCATGTGAGCATAAGCTCTCTGGCATTAGTGGAGTTCAGCTGGGAGAGGTGGTACACTCCTGTAATCCCAGCACTCAGGAGGCTGAGGCAGAAGGATTGCCACAAGTTGGAGGCTTCATAGTTAATTCATGGCCAGTCAACTACATAGACTCAAAAAAACAAGGGCCGGGGATTTAGCTGACTGGCACCATGCCTGCCTCATAAGTACAAGGTCCTGAGTTCAATCCCCAGTACTAAAAAAACCCAAAAAAACAAACAATAGTGAAAATAAAAAGTTCATATTAAAGCTACTAAGAGTTCACCAAGGATGCGACAAAGAGGATGGAGGTCAGGAAGAAATCATATAACGCTTTCCAGGCCCAGAGCTTCATTTGTATATATGTAGACATGAGTGTGTTAGTGAGCGGGTATGGGCCAGGCCACATGAGGCCCTGATTTGCATCCTCACACCCATTCCAGGAGGCCTACTTCAAGAAGCACAAGTTCAATACAGTTCCAGGTGTCCAGCTCCAGAAGGTGGACAGGTGAGGGCAGGCATCAGGGCAAGAGGGAAGATGTGTAGGAGACTTGATGACCAGTCCTCAGCCCCACTGCCCCATTTTTCCATGAGACCCTTGCCCTGCCTGCTGCTACCCATGGGGCCTGAGGGCCTGCCCCCTCCTGACTCATTTTTCCCTCTCCTTCAGTCTGAAGAAAGATGCTTATGAAGTGGAAATTCACAGGTTACTCAGGTATGGCCTAAGGGATGTGTGGCAGGGAGTAAGGAGTCAAATATGGGGTTCCTGGCTTTGTCAATTGTGGAGCTCTGGGCAAAATGAAAATCAGGCTTCCTAGTTCAGACATTATTAAGAATTTCAAGATGGCAATAGCAGAGCATTAAACCAAGCCGAGGGCCCTGTGTGACAAATCCATGAAGTGTGCCTTACCTTGGGCTCACCCTCCACCCTCTACTGCAGTGAGGCTGAAGTTTTGGACCATACTAAGTACCCTTGTGAAGACTCCTTCGTGCCAGACACAGAGGGCCACATCTATGTGGCATTCATCCAAATGGAAAAAGAAGATGATTTTACCACCTGGACCCAGCTTGCCAAGGTACCTGTCTTAGTTACTTTTCTTGTTGCTGAGATAAAGTACCTGACACCCAAAGTTAAAGGAAGAAAGGTTTATTTAGCTCATGGTTTGTAGAGGTTTCAGTTCATTATCAGGTGGCTCCAAGGCAGGGTGGATTCACAGAGGAGAAACTGTTCATGGTAGACAGAAGGTAGCAAAGCAACAAGTGATGACCACAGATCTTTCTATCCCTTATATCTTTTTTTTTTTTGGTACCGGGGGATCGAACTCAGGTCCTTGGACTTGTGCAACAGGCAGCAAAACCACTGAGCTAAATCCCTGGCATATCCCTTATATCTTATCCAGGATACTTAGGGCAGGTAGCATTCACACCCTTAATCCTAGTGTCCTTGACCCTAGCATTGTACCATATGTCACACACTGTAGATCCAGCCACCTCTGAAAAAGCCCCACCTATGACCACATGAGGCTTTATGGGGGTATCTAAACACAAACCATAATAGTACCCCAACACCACACCCACCCAGAAGCACACCGTCCTCACGTGGCCCAAGATTCAGGTTCAACCTCAGAACCTCCTCCTCATGCTTTCAGAATTCTTCCAACCCCTTTGTCCAAATTCATGTTTCTGAAGATGCCACCATTTGCAGATTGAGATGGCTACTGAATTCTCAGTGGTCTCCTTCCATAGCTCCCTGACCCATCTCTCTCTGTCTTACCCCTGCCAGTGCCTCCATATCTGGGATCTGGATGTGCGTGGCAACCACAAGGGCCTATGGAGATTGTTTCGGAAGAAGAACCACTTCCTGGTGGTGGGGGTCCCAGCCTCTCCTTACTCGTGAGTGACCCTTTTCTACCCTGGGAGATGGGAGCCTAATGGGACTAAGGGATGTAGCTAAGGACCTCTTCCCTGTGTGTAATTTTCATGTATCTTCCAGAGTGAAGAAGCCACCATCAGTCATCCCGATATACCTGGAGCCACCTCCAAAGGAGGAGGGAGCCCCAGGAGCTGCAGAACAGACATGAGACCTCCAGAACCCTGCAGGGCTGGGTACTGTGTACCCCTAGGCAGGCTAGCCCTACAACCCATCCTGTAGGATTTTGTAGATGCCGGTAGGGGCTGGGGCTGGTTTGTTTTTAACATGAGACTTAATTACTAACTCTAAGGGGAGCATTCCCTTGCTCTAGCACCCCTCTTTCTGAGTTTAAGGTCTATTTATTTACTTCCATGTTGGAGAAGGGCAGGAGAATACCTAGGAATCTTTGGGATCCCTGGGCAGCTGATCATGCCCTTTTTGTATACCCCCTCCTTCTAGGCCTGGCTCAGACTCTAATGTATTTATTGACTGTCCTGAGGGCCTTGGAAATAGGCCTACGGAGGGCCTTGATTCCTTTCTGGGCTGGAATGCTGGCCTGAGGGTGAGGCTGGCTCTTACTCAGGAAACTGCTGTGCCCAACCCATGGACAAGGCCCGCTGGGACCCATGTGCTGACACAGACTCACTCAGAGACCCCTAGACACTGCACCAGGCCTCCTTTCAGCCTCCTCTTTGTCCAGATTTCCAAACCTGGATAAAGTGGTCATTGATTAAAAAAAAAGGAGAAAATCTCTGGTGATGTGTCTTGTGATTATGAATTTATGTGTGTGAGGGGGGATGTAGAAGGAGGAAAGAATCATCTGGATGGATGATTTATTTATTTTTTTTTTAAAAAAATTTTTTAGGTTCTGGGGATCGAACTCTGGTCCTTTTGCTTGCAAGGCAAGCAGCGGAACCACTGAGCTAAATCCCCGGCCCCCCAATTTTTTTTTTTTTTGTACTGGGGATTGAACTTGGGTCCTTGTGCTTGCGAGACAGGCAGTGAAACCACTGAGCTAAATCTCTGGCCCATGGATGGATGATTTTTTTCTGTTCTGTCTCTCACAGGATTTATTTTCCATTTAGGGCTATTTGGCCATCAGGAGATGCTCAAGTCTCAAGCTTCAGAGTTTTTCCCCAGGCTCCACTTTAGCAAAGCTGACTTTAGCCCCACCCTGATTCCTTTCTGGGCTGGGATGCTGCCAGGATGGGCTGAACTCTAAGCAGCTTCCCTAAAACACTTCCCCACTGTTTAACTACCCAGTTGGTTCCTGTCTTGTCTGAACCAGGTACCTGTCCCCAGAGAGCTGGGGAGAACAGAAGGGATCCTCAGGGTGGGAAAGGGAATGGGAGAGCAGCAGGTGGACATAGTGGACATAGGTGGACTGGGTCCTATGGAGGTGACTTTGTGGGAGAATACTAGGCAGGCAGGGGCTAGGGCTGCACCGCAGGTGTAGGAGCAAGGGTGTTTTTGGCCCATGAGTTTTTGGCCTTTTGTATGCAGAATGCCATATCTGGGCATAAAGCAAAGGGCCATGGCTTTCATCAAATTCTCATACAGCCATGGACTCAAAAGAGCACAAGAAGAACTGAGTTAAATATTCACCAGAAAATGGATGGGATTGTCCAGAGGGTAAGATAGTCCAAGAAAGGAGACCATGACATTGAAAGGATTTGTGGACTTAGGATCAGGAACTGAGTGTAGAGTATCTGTTGAGAAATGGCCTGCTGGCTATAGAGCTTTGGCCAGGAAGGCAGAAACTTACTAGAATTCCTGCCCTTGCACCTGTTCTTTGTTCCTGTTACCCCAACCAGTGCCTGGAGCTCAGCTTGGCAAAGGCATCAGTGGTGTTGGCTTGGACATTTCTCGCCATGCTGACGCCTTCAGTGTTTGCTGGTTCTAGAGATAGTGTTTGAGGCAGCAGAATAGCCAGGTTGAAAATCAGTTAGCCCGTGCTGAGGTAGAAGCCTGCCATTGACAAACAAACCCTTTGTAGCTGCCACACAGACACCTGGAGGGGTAGTGTGTGGGCACAGAATTATGGCAGATGGCCAAGGTGGGCCAGTTCCTCACCCTACCCAGCACCCTCGCAGGCCAAAATTGGCTTTCAGGCTCTGTGACTGCAACCATGTCAGTTCCTTTCTTGGCTCAGCAGTTCTGGGCTGCCCTGGAAAAGTCCAGGAAGATGGATACAGTGGTCCAAGGGGAGCAAGGAGAGACTGGTTAGTCAGGCTGGGCTTTGCCTGCACCAGGCACTATATCCTCCTGCCATAGCCTTCCTCCTCAATGCTGTCACTCCTGGTTTGACAATGTTCAGGTCTATCTCAGGGGCATTCTGGTCAGGTGGTCCTTCAAGTAGGGCTGTCACTGTGCCCAGGACTGAACCAGGCTCTAGAGTCAGACAGTTGGGTCTGAATCTGGGCATAATTCTTCACTGTGGGACCTGGGCAAATCACTTGACCTTTCAAAGCCCAAGTTTCCTAACCTAAAGCATAGCAATAATTAAGACTAAGAGATTAGGTCCTTAGAGCACTAGGCAGGCCAACACCAAAGAATAAAAGACATTCTAAGATCCCGAAAGCAGGGGCATTGCTTAAGTTGGCAAGGGTAGGCACCACGGACCTTCTGATGGGATTCTTTCCCTTTGACTCGGTCTCCTCCCTGACTTTGGCACAAGCTTGTTATTTTCATAGCTTTCCAGTTCAGTGCCCCCACCTAGGAGGGGAAGTTTCAGGCCAAAGTCCTCCCTTGCTCTAAGAAGACTGGCTGGCCCAGCTCTCACTTCCTCGGTGCCCTCTTGATCATCCCTCCTAGGCCCGTAGCCTAAGTCCCCACCCCCACCCCACTTCCCTTCTGCTGGCTTTGAAGGGGACTTTTGTGTCGCCAGCCCCACAGGAAATCTGAAGGCAGTTTAGGCAAACTGGACCCCTCTCCCCATGGATACACAGAGTCCAAATAGAAACTTTTTATTGGTTTATAAGATCTGAAGTACCATCTATACATCCACCTGTGGCTCTCCTGATTTTGAATATGCTCATGATATAAAGTTCCTTTCTCTCATTTCCCAGCAGACTACTGGGATCATCAAGAGTTCCCTTTGGCCTAGTAGGGTGTCAAGGATTGAAGGAACAGATTGAAAGATAGGCAGAAGAACTGGCTTCATTAGAGGCTTTGGCATAGGTGGGCTTCAAACCCATCAACAGAAGGAAAAGTCAGGCACAGCCTAAATGGGTTGGTCCCTACTTAGGCCCAAGACCAGAGCAACAGGGCCAGGGCCACTGCAGCCCAAGTGACACTGTGAGATCTCATCCCCATGATGATCATGGATCCTTGACTGCCAGGGTACTTCTTCCCGGTTCCCATGTGCACAGTAGTGGCAGAGGCAGAAGCAGACTTATTTCATATTGCAGTACAGATACAAGGAAACACTCATGGCAGCCAGCTGATAGGGGAGGAACAGAGAGAGATGAGGGGACATGATTGGAATCCTCAAATACAGTGTATCCCAGATGGGCTACCAGCACCAAAAAAGAAGTCTGTCTCCCCCAGAGAGGCCTCAGAGATGAGTCTAGAAGCACAGGTGTAGTGGCAATTGATAATCCAGTCCAAACCTTCTTGTCAGCTTACCTCCAGGGCTGCAATTCCAGCTGCTACACCACCCACAGTGATTGCATTGGTTCGGATGTTATTTAGAAGTTGTTGGAAGCAACCCTTGAGGGAAGGAAGACAGCATTTATAGTTGGCAGCTGTCCTACCCTCATTTGCTACTCTAAGGCCAGTGAAGTGGTCCCCACCCTTTTATACCAGTTCACACCTGTACGGTACTCTCCTCGGCCTTCTTCAAGGTACAAGATTCCTCAGCTGTGCCATTGATGCAACAGAAGGGAGGAAAGGTGTTATTATTCTTGAAGTAGGGTGAGTCCTCAAAATCTGTGTAGTTGTTGAATCCACAGCACTTGAGCTGGAGACAAGGTGGGGTGGATGGTCAGTAGGGCCTTGCTTCTTTCTCTCCACCCTTAATCCCCCCCAGCCCACCTTACCCCTTTCATGGTGGAGTTCCACACTTGGGTGAAGTCATTACTGGAACCATAGTCTTTCTTGATGGCAGGCACTACCAGCCTTGACAGGAATTCCTCAGCCTGGGTAGGGCAGGCCAGTGTTTAGGGACTGGTAGGGAAGGTGGTCTTTCACAGGCCACAGCCCACTTCCAGGCTTTACCCAGTCTTCCCCCTTCTCCCATCCCAGCCTCACCATTGTGGTATACACCAAAGCCACCACAGCAGCTGCAAGCTCAGCAATGAAGATGATGAGGAGGAGGATGAAGAACTAAGTGGGATAAGAGGGGTCTAGTTTTAGGGAAAGACAGTTTCTTACATTTTCCTCCCCCAGCCTATCCACTGTCCCTTAAAAAATGAGGCAGGGAGCCCCTCTGCCGAGACCCCCAGAGTCCAAAGTAGTTTTGGGATCCCCAGGGCTGGTGTCAAGGGTGAGGGGACCCTTAGTCATGGGCCTGTGGAGCTGGGTGAGCTGGGTCTGACACACCGTCATGAGTGCACACTTGTTCTCAGACAGAGCACCGTAGCAGCCCAGGAAACCAAGAACAAAGAGCACAGCACCAGCCGCGATGAGGAAGTAGCCCACGTTGACAAACTGCATGGCACTGGAAGACTGCGACCCAAACATCTTCATGAAGGATGGCCCATCGACTGACACCCAGATTCCCACAGCCAACAGGGCTGCACCACTCAGCTGGGAACAGAAAAGTGAGGCAGGCTTTGAAACAGTGCTGACAAGCAGCTCCGTCATCCACTTGAGCCAGGGGGATGGGAGCTAAGAAACTTCCCCTTTCATTGACTGGGAAATCTGACAACCTATCATACAGGGAGGGAAATATACTTTAGTGCCAGAATGACTACAACTAGGACATCCATAGCCAGCACCAGGCTCACACCTGAGCAGATATAAATGAGATCAGGGTTTCTAGAAATATCCACAGTGTGGAAGGAAGGACAAGACTGTCCCTGACTTTTGCCAGGGTCCTGACACATAGCTGGGAGTAAAAATAGGCAGATGAAGGCTCAATGCGTCATTTCCTTTCTGGACTATGGGTGCATAGAACACCTCTGTCCTCTGACAGGTAGAATCGAGGGTGGTAGCTTTGAGCAAGCACAACATCATCACAGTAACAAAGGCAGGACTAAAGTTTACACCTGCTACCAACCATGAAAAGGGCTGAGGTTGAGAAGGTTCACTCACCGTAAGCCCCTAGCTGGCTCCCCTTTGAGATCAGATGCCAGGCCTGCTCCTCATCCCCCTAGACCTCCTTGCCTCACAAATGGAAACTGAGGGACAGGGTGGGAAAGGCTCATCAGCTCAACTTAATCCTCAGAAGGAGTCCTGAAACTGATGGGGCAGGCCCTACCTAATTTCCACAGCTCTTAGGGGAAGGCAAGGCTTGGGAGCATAAATCAGCCTAACACCAACTTCATGCCCAGTTTCTACCTTCCAGTTATAGAAACTGAGGCTAGAATTGGGAGTATGGTAGCAAACTGTGGCTGGATCTCATGTATGTTTGCCTAAGGACCAAAGCTGGCCTTCTAGCCTGTAGGATCAAATTTCAAGGAGCCTGCTGGTCTGCCCTACCCTGCTCTGGACAGCCTGGGTAGTTCTGGGCAACAGAGGCAGAAATCAAACAAGATTTGCCTTTAACCCCTTCAGCCCAGAGTCCCTGCTCTCCATATTTCTAGAATCCTATTGCTCCCTTCAGACACATGAATAAAAGCTAATTTCTTGCAGCTAAAAGAAGCCCAAAGTACAGACCACACTAGAGGGAGAGTATGCTCACCCCAGCCTGACCGTGCCAAATCATACTCCAAACCAGTTTACACACCACATTTCTATTCTTCACCTTTTAATCACTAACTCACTTAATGTGGCTCTAAGTTCTTTGGTGACATCCTGTGCTAAACCCAGTGATCACTTCACAGGTCTTATCTCCTGGACCTCACTGCCATCTTACTCTCCTAGTATTTCCCCCTTCTCTCTTACTGTTCCTTCTCCATTTCCTTCATGGTAGCTATTTTGCTTATCCCTAATAATCCAGGTTTCCCAGATTCACTTGCTGTGAGTGCTCTCACACACTCCCCTGGCTTCATGGGCCGCCTATGGGTACATGACTTTCAAATATCCATGGCCAGCTCCAATCTGAGCTGCACCTTTATTGGGTAACCAGCTGCCTGTGGGATACCCCATTCCAACTCCCTATGTTACTCATGCCAGAAATATGAGCATCATCTCTAAGACCTCTGACTCTCTTAACCCTTGTATCACTCAGCCACCATCATGGGGCTTTGTCTAGTTTGTCCATTTCTCTTTATCTCCACCACCTTCTCCAGGCTTTACGCCTCATTGGCTGCTTCTCTAACACGCCCTATATAATCTGTTCCTGGTTTCCTGAGCAATATCAAATTTCATTACCTCTGAGTTTTTATGCATGTTTTATAGCTCCCCCACCCTATGCAAATTCCTAGCTGCAGGTATTTCCTCCAGGAAGAAGTCTCCCACTAGGCAGGGTTCAAGCCCCTCCAGTGGACTCCCTTAGCCCTCTGTTGAAACCAGGCATACCACATTGCAATTAGCTATCTACTTGGCTTATGGACCTGAAGTCGTGGAAAGTAGAGAATGTCTTGCTAACCTGCTACCCCAGCACCTAGCACAGAGTTTTAATCAATGAATGTTTTGTTTTTGTTTCTGTCTTGAGGTTCCTGGGTATTGAACCCAGGGCCTCACAAACGTTAGGCAAGTAAGCTACCACTGAGCTACATTCCAGCCCCATCAATAAATGGATGTTGAATGAATAAAGACTGCCTGAGGCAGAACCTTTGCTCTAAGGAGACATAGGCCCTGTCTCCTTTCAACTCCCCCTTGTACAGAGGGCCACTAAACTGCCTCCTACACTAGGTGAATTTAGGCAAGCCCCTCCCGAAATACCTCTAAAAAGGGGAGAAACCTTCCTGTTAGCTTATCCTGCCCTGCCCTAAGCCTTCACTGAAGGGAAGGGATACCTGGTCCAAAGCTTCTCTGCCCCACTCCCCACTGTGGGAGAGCTTCGCTGCTATTAGGACCAGAAATCAGCATTTGGGGAAAACTTCTGCATTCCACTCAGAAGGGAAAACTGGCAGGGCAGAATGTGGGCAGAGTAGTCTTCCATTCCCCAGCTCAGCTCTGCTCAGTGTGTCCTGCTCCTGTAAGAAGCCCCACAGAGACCATAATCTTTGTACTTACGAAGATGAGTGTATTGAAGATAATCGTCATGGTTTTAAGGAAGCTGAAGCACCCCATGGTGGTTCCTGGCAGGCAGGGATGTGAGAGTTAGAGCCTTGTGTCCCCCACCATACCTGGGCCAGTCCTGCCAGACCCCAGTATCCTGGACCCATATCTCAAAAACCTTTTCCTACACCTGGATTCTGACGCCTCAAGACTTTTCTCAGTTCCCATCGTGACACTTGTACCCACTCTGCTACTCAGACCCTCTGCCAGCCCTTCACACTGAGATCCTAACACCCCAAGTTCAGGCACAGGGATCACAAGCCTGACTCCCTGCACCGCAGATCACTCCATGCCCTCTCCTAGCATCTCCTGGGCTCCTCCCCAGACCAACTCCAACCCTTTCAGTACCCTCTCCATAGCCCTTCCAGCTGTTCAAACCTGTTTCCAGATTGATATCATTTCATAGGATACTCCTGTCTGAAGCCATCACCTGTTCAGGGTCCTTGGCAGCAAGCTCTGAGAGGGATCTGCTGAGGCACAAGAAGGGACAGAACAGCTCTCAGGAGGTGCTACTCAGTGGTCAGGCAGAGGGACAGGTTGGTACACCACTGTTCACCTGCAGGTGGAGAAGGTGCTTTAAAGCGTCCTTCGCCCGCCCCCTGGCCCCACCCATGGCCAGTCAGCCTCCCCTTGTCCCTGCTGCCCCCTGCTGCCTGCTGGCTGATGGATTCCCACCACCATGCAGCAATAGGCCTCGCCTGGAGACGTTACCCATGGGCTTTGCCTTTCCTGATCTCAGGAAAAGTGTGGGGATGGGGCCAGAGGGGCCCAGAACTTCCGTGTGCCCTTCACACAACAGTGCACATACGCTTCTTCCCCACCGTCAGCGACTACACTGCTATCTACGGGCCGTTTGTGCTCACCGGCCCACACATCTGCCTGGGTTGCCATCCATGTTTACAGAGCAAACACACAGTCACATACATAAACATCTACTGGTGCTTCTGGTACTACTGATGTGTACATATCCGTACACGCTCACACACACACAATTTTCAAGGAAATGACCAAGGTTTGGCAGCTTTTGCTGTCTCCTCTGAGAAGCAAATAGTTTCTAGTCCTCTTCCTTCCACAAACCTCAAATTTCCCCCTTTTTCTCCTCCCTGTCTTTTCTCCTCTCTTTTCCCTCCCCACATTTTTCTTTCCTCCTCGCCTCTCCACTCTTCCAGCATGCCGGGGAATCTTTTTTCTTTCTGCCAGCAGGGGGCACCACCGTTCCATAAAGGAGTCGCCTCACTTCCAAGGCTCTAGAACCCGCATTCTCAGTGACGCTTCTGGGGCTGCCTCAGGTCCCACAGCCACCCTCCCGTTCCTGAGGGAGAGGTGCTGGGAAGTCCTGGCGTTCCAGTTACTCAGACCAGGTGCTTGAATCCTGGTTCTGTTATTTCTTAGCTGTGTGACTCTTGGAAGCATTTCTGAGACCTGTTTTTAAGCCTCTGTTTCCTGATCTGTATGACAGAACAGTTACGGGGTTTAAAAATGAGATTTTCTTTTTTTTAATTAGCTGTCATTTTTTAATTTATTTTTTTGGTACCAGGGATCAAACTTGGGTCCTTGGACTTGCGAGACAGGCGGTGGAACCACTGAGCTAAATCCCCTGCCCTTGTCATTTATATTTAAAATAAATTTTATTTTATTTTATTCCATTCCCCCCTCAAGCCCCCTCCCCTCCCTATGTACAAAAGCTTTGTTTCCATTTTTTCCTTCTATTTTCACTTTTTTCTTGTCCCTTCCTTCCTTTCTCCCTCCCGCATCCCTTGTTTCCCTTCTCATTTGAACACTTTCTTCCCATAAAATGAGATTTTTCTTCCCGCTCTGGGACATATGAGCATGAGCACAGACCGAAGTCAGAAGGGAAGCAGCCACCACCAGAGGGACATGGGATACAGGAAGTGTCTTGTATATTTTATTATTATTATTATTTTGTGGTGCTGGGAATTGAAGCCAGGACCTTGCACATGCTAAGCAAGCATTCTACTACTTAGCTACACTAAGGAAGTGTATTCTTAAGTAGTCTTCCTTTTGTGTGTGTGTGTGGAAGTATTATATACAGCTAAATTAGATAGAAATATTACAGGCAGTCAGATAGGGCTAGGCCCTCGAGAGTTAGGACAAAGGTGAAACACACCACAACTGTGGCCCGAGGCACCTCTGTTGGAGACCTGACCTCAAGATAAAGACGAAATGACCAGACCAGCATACTTCCTCAAAGAACAAACACTGGGCCTAATGGAGCCTAGATAGACATCAGTCACCCCAATGGGTGACTAGGACCTCTGGACCCATCATTCCTAGGAAAATCTTTCTTCTTTCCACGCACACTTATTACATGACTTGTTTCTCCATTGGATCACTATTACCTAAGCGACTATACTTCTAAACTTATTGGTTAATCATAGCTGCAACCCACATTGTACCCATGTGGGTTTTGAGCTATAAGAGTTCCCTGTAAAGTGAGGTCCCTAGCTATCCATTTGGGTCCTCTCCTGCCTCTCAGGAGCTATCCTATCAAAAAATATTTTCCAGGGCCGGGGATTTAGCTCAGTGGTTCTGGCACCTTGCAAGTGCAAGGTCCCAAGTTCGAGCCCTGGTACCAAAAAAAAAAAAAAATTTTCCCACTCTTAACCTCCATTGTTCCTAGAATTCATTCTTCCATTTTTAGAGAACATGAACTCAGTGTATCAGACATCTAACAGGTTGGGAGATATAATATTTCATATTTCATCTCCTGTATCAGAAGGATGATACTGAAGAAACAAAAGAGAGAGAATAATATTACAGAGTATAGCCCAGGGCACAGTAGTGTGTGTAAATAACCCCAGCTACTCTGGAGGCTGAAGTGGGAGGCTCACTTGAGCTCGTCAGAACCAGCCTGGGCAACATAGTGAGACCTTGTCTCAAAATTTAAAAAAAGGGGGGCTGGGGATTTAGCTCAGTGGTTCCACCGCCTGCCTCACAAGCTCAAGGTCTGACTTTGATCCCCAGTACCAAAAAAAAAAATTAAAAAAAGAAATTACAGTCTGTACTAACAATAAAGATCATGCTTAAAAAGCATTATATATATATATATATATATATATATATATATATATATATATATTCCTCCACCACAATCCTGAGATATTCTTTTTAATACCCATTTTAAACACAGGGAAACAGAAGCACAAAAATGTTAAGTACTTGCCACAATCATATGCCTTATAAATGACAAAGCCAGGATTAACCTGTCAGTCTGACACCAAAGTCTATGTCAACCTCCCACCCCCACCCCGTATTGGAGACTAAAACCAGGGCCTTTGCACTGAGTTACATCCTCAGCCTTTTTATTTGTTTGTTTCCTTAGCAAGGGTCTTGCTAAGACACTAAGTTGCCCAGTGTCTTAGTTACTTTTCTCGTTGTTGAGACAAAATATTCAACAGTCAAAGTTAAAGGAAAAAGGTTTATTTAGTTCAGTCTGTAGAGGTTTCAGTCCATAATCAACTGGCTCCAAGGCAGGGTGGCACATGGCAGAGGAAAAAGAGTTCATGGTGGGCAGAAGGTAGCAAAGCAGCAAGGGACGACCACAGCTCTTTCTATCCCTTATATCTTATCCAGGCTACTTATGGCAGGTAGCACTCACACCCTTAATCCTAGTGCCCTTGAGCCTAGCATTGCACCATGAGTCAATCTCAGTGTCACACACTAGATCCAGCCACCTCTGCAAAAGCCCCACCTATGACTGCATGAGGCTTTTGGGGGGACACCTAAACACAAGCCATAACACCCAGACTGGGCTTGAACTTGCAGTCCTCTTGCTTTAGCTTCCCAGAATGCTGGGATTACAGATGGCAGCACCACACCCAGCCCAGAGTTCATGTTTTAACCACTCATTGATGGCATCTCTAAAGAGGCAGGTGGGGCTGATTTCTAGAAAGAGCAGGAGAGGAGAGCTTGTCTAGGACCTGACAAAGAGGAGAGCAGGACAGGGAGGCTTACAGAGATAGTGACTAAAGGTTGATGAGAGCAAGGTTGTATTCTAATACCATAGATGGCAAGAGCAGAAGCTAGAGTAGGGGATGTTCAGGGTTACCAGGTACCTAGGGCCTCTGCTGTCTCCAGCAGTTTCCTGCAGAACAGTAGGTGGAGTCTAGGAAGCAGTGTAGGAGGGAAAGGAAGAAGGGCTTAAGGGCAAGTCCAAAGTCCCTCAACTCAGTGCAGTACAGGGGAGAGCCACTAACTCTCCTGTCTTGTAACAAGAAAGGTGACAAATCCAGGACTAGCACCTCTTATATCCCTACCTACACTGACTGTCCACATGGTTTTCCTTTTCATCTCAGAAAGAACTAAGACCATGTCCCAGTCGTCTGTCCCTGGTGCACAACACATCTGAAGTTGTTCCTGAACATTTCCTGAGTGAATGAATGAGCACAGAGTAACAAGAGATAAATACTCTGAAATTGAGCATGGTGGTGCATGCCTGTAATCCTACCTAGGCTAGGGCAGGAGGATTGAGAGTTAGAGGCCAGCCTGGGGAGTTTAGCAGACCTTATCTCAAAATAAAGGGGGTTTTTTTGGTACCAGAATCGAACTCAGGACCTTGCATTTTCGAGGCAGGTGGTGGAACCACTGAGCTACATCCCCAGCCCTCAAAATAAAGTTTTTTAAAGAGCCAGGCATGTAGCTCAGTGTACAGCACTTACCCAGGAGAAAGAAGTCCCTGGGTTTGATCCACCAGTACCACAAACAAACAAACAAAAATGATAAATGGTCAGGGCTTTAGAACTTGACACCATCATCATGGACTTGAACCCCCACCTGCCTATAATTGTGTGACTTCACCTCACTGAACCTCAATTTCCTTATTTTTTATTTTGTTTTATTTATTTGTTTTTTGAGACAAGGCCTTGCTATGCAGTTCAGGCTGGCTTTGAACTTACTGTGTACAGCGGGTTGGCTTTGAACTCAGTGATCCTCCTGCCTCAGCCTCCCAAGTGGTGGGACTACAGGGGTGTGCCACAACACCTTGCTCAGTTTTCTTATATAGTCAATTTCATTCATAGATTTTTTTTTTGTGAATTCACTAAAATTTATTTGTAATCCCAAACCAATAAATACGTTTACCACTTTTGAAGTTATTCATGGCCACACCCAGAGAGGTAAAATTTTTGAGTCCCCCAACACAGGTATTTCTGGCTGAGGTCTATTGCTGCCTTCTTGTTTCAGCTCTCATAAAGAAAAGTTCTTTGGAAGTCTATTTAGTGCCATGTTTTTCACAATTTTTGTGGTTTTTGGTGGTTTTGCTGGCTCAAGTAGCCCCTAGTTTTAATGTTGAAGCACTATCTAGAGTTCATAAGCACAAGAAGGCTGTGATGTGGTTTAGGGGAAAAGGCATATTTTAGATAAACCTGATTAAGGCACAGCTTATAGTTTTGTGGCCATAAGTTCAGTGTTAATGACTCAGTAAGATAAATTAAATGAGGTGTCATAAAACCAGCTTATGTATCAATCACTTGGCAAAAATGTGACCAGAAACTTGCCAAAAACCTGTGTATTTCCCTTAGGAGTAATGGTTCAGTATTTGTTAATTCAATATTTGTGTTAACTTCATGGAACATAACTATTGGGAATAATGAGAATCGACTGTATACAAATAGAGATAATGACAGAATCTCCTTTGTAGATTAAAAGGAATTGTGTTTATAAATTGTTCAACACAGTGTCTGGCACATAGTAAGGGCTCAATAAACATTGCTAATATTATTAATACTTACGAACAAAACAGAGTGAGTTTTTCCAAGGTTCTTTTTGCCAAGGGGCCAAGCTGAGATTGTCTGGCTCTTGGGCAGGATCCCGTGGAGAGGATTGTGGGAAAGCCTGACCAGGGGTCAGGACCTGCAGTAAAGAGCCCCGCCCTTAGCCAGAGTTATTATGTCACAGAGGCCTCAGCTGCCCTGGCCAGCAGCACCCCTCCTGGACACCACAGAAGCTTCCTGTGCCCATGGGGCCCTCTCATCTTATCCATGCCCCTCGGCTTCGGGGCCTGAGCTCGCCATATCGCAGGTCAAGTATGGGCTGTCCCTGGCCCCGGTTTTGCAAGATGTTCAAGTGTAGCCGCAGAAGGTACCGGGAGAAACTTCAAGGTTCAGTGGCCACCAATCTTGCTACCATGAGCACAGGCATCAGTGACACCCGCAGTGCCACAAATACTGTGTGGATCCTCTTACCTCAAGGTTAATGGGGGCACTGAGGGTAGGCAGACCGTGATGGGGGGCGGGATGGGGGCAGGGCCTCTGAAGTGCTGCTCAGCCATTCTAGGGAGAAATTGTGAAATACTACCCCAGAGGAATGGTGGGATCTTGAAGGCAGGCATTTCCAAGAGCCGAGAGCCTTAAGGGGGATGGAACAGCTGGAAATGGGTGACCTGGGGAAGTAGGTGAATCCAAGGGGCAGTGGACTTCCAGAAATACTGATTCCTCACACCCTTCCCTCTCCTTTCTCTCCTCAGTTCTCAGGCTTCTCTGACAATGTGGTGGGAGCTTCTCCTCTAGAATGCCCAGAAGCTTGGCCTGCTCTGGACCCGTGTCTCCAAAGGGCTGGGGATGGTAAACAACAAGTACAATCATTCTGCTCAAACTACCTTCCTCTGTACTGAGGTGTTTCCAGCCAACTATGTGGGGTGTGAGGGCAGGTTTGGGGCTGAATACTCCCAGGAACAGGCTTCAGTAACGGCAGCAGGCATCACACTTGGGTACTGAGAGGACAGGGCAAGATCGCACCACACACCGATCTCTGCCCTCTCTCTTGATCTGCCCTATGAAGCAGAGGTCTTTCCTGTCTAACACCCCCATCTACACAGGCTGAAGGGTTTCCACAGACATCTTGAAGGCACAGGGAGGCACAAATCAGAGAGATAGCTTGAAAGACAGAATCCCATGAATGTTCCAGAATGTGTTCCTCTGTTTGTCTGTGGTGGTCAGTGTGTAGGTGTAGCTCCTGGTGTGTGTCTGAGTCTGTGTGTGACAGGAGAATGGCAGTAAAAGTAGCATGTGACTGAAGATTCCTTTGTGATCCAGTGTGCTCGATCCAGTGTGCTTCTGGCCGGCTGTGTCAAGGAGCATTTGTGAGGAAACCAGGAGCCAGGGCTCTGGCATTGGCTCTCCTAAGAAGAATGAAGGTCAGGAGGGGGATGGGGCAGCTTGAGGGAGGAGAGGGCCAGGAAGCCTGTCACCTTCAGCCCCCAGCCTTCATGCTCTGAGGTCAGTGATTCTAGGAGGGCAGCTGAGCTGGGGTGCTTGGGGATGGGGCAAGAGTGAGTTTGAGCCCAGAAAGGGGGAAGGGAACTGAGCTCTCTGGCTTGGGGATTTTCCATTTGGATTTCTGAGTGTGTGCCCATCTGTCATCGGGTGTAACTGGATTCCTGTCAGGTGTGTCTCCGTGAGGTTGTGTCATAGTGGCTGGGAACATTGTGAGGGTTTCTGTCTGTAGTATTTTGCTTTGTGCATTGTTTGGTGTGTGTCTCAGTATCCCTGAGGGTTGAGGATGAGAGTGAACCTTGAGAGATTTGGTAGCCTGGCCCCTGGGGTTTAAGAAGTCTGGATAATAGCCTTTGCTTCCTGTAAGGGAAAAATAAATTTTGTCTAAGTTCTCCTACTCCAAGGCTTGCCAGAGAGTGGGACTCTGAGGAGAGGGGTGGGGTAGAAATCCACTGCCACATTGTACCCAGACAGTGCTGGGCCCCTTTAGGTATGGGATTGGAGGGGTTGCTGACCATCAGCCAGAGCTAGAAGGTGGCTGGCCCAGTGTCCAAACCCTACAAAGGAGCCCATACATATAAATATGCATGACACAGTCCACAAATACATGCAGACAGTAATATAAGTGAACTAAAAACCACACAATGCAACACACACACGTGGAGGCAGGCATATGATATAAACAGATATGCACTGACAAAAAATGCATAGAACTCCCCACCATGATACATGTAACAATAAATACATGCTCCTACAAATGAGCATACAGACACAAACAGGCATGCATACAAACACAGAAGTGTATAAGCATACAGACACAGACACATGCAATCACACTCATGCAAACCCAAGGATACACAGACATACACACATACAGACACACTCACCAGACTTCCCTGCCCCTGTGGCCCTGGAAACCAGAAGCCTCCCTCCCCGTATGAGTGTAAGTGTGTGTGCGTGTGTGTGCACGCGCGTGCATACCCATGGTTGTGTGTACCTGTGTCTTTGAGTGTGTGGGTGGGGGGTGCTAAGCTGTGGGAACCTGATGACATCATCTCTTCTGTCTATTTTTAGCTCCATCTGCAGTGATGCTCTTATGCTGCCCTCCCCCCTCCAGGTTCCCGGTTTTCTTTCCCCTTCAGGCTCTCAGAGGCAGCAGCTGCCAGAAGGCACCCACCGCCTCAATTTGGGTGGCCCTTTGCCAGGGTTTCCCGGAGGCTGGGAACATTGGGCTCTAGGGCCAGAGCCATGGGATAGCCTGGAGCAGAGGCCTGGATTAGGTGGGCTGACCTGGCCCTCTGCTTCACTTTTTAGTCTATAGCTCTGTCATAGTCCATAGTGTCTGCTATATGCCAAGGGAGGTGCTCAGCTGTGGAGAGATGATGGGGCTCCACATCATGGTTATACCTCAGTGGGAGACAGACATTAAATACATCACAAGGCACTTCAGTCAATTGCACCAGGTCTCCGGACACTGGTAACAGGTCTAGGATGATTTTTTAAGTCTTTTTTTCCATCTTTCAAAGAAAACATAAGGAAATAAGGATAACATAAGGAAACCAGAGGGAGCACCCTCTGGTGCTCCCTTTTGACTACACCTCTAGATTTCTATTTGCAAATCCTTCCTTCTCACACCCAGGCTGTGCTCCCAACATTACACCAACCCACCTTGCAAGTGGTAGGCCCCCTGCTATTCAAATCCCCCTTTTCTTTGGGTCCCTGTCTCCCCACAGTGATCCCCAGGAGGCAGGCCACTGTTCTCCATCTATAGATAAGAGAACCCAGCCCCAGTGCTAGCCACATTTCACAGCCCCGGGAAGCAGTGCAGGGGAGGTAGCAGGCAGGTGGAGGAGGAAGCGGTGGTGCCCTGTGACTGCTGGCACAGGTGCAGGAGATCAGGCCAGTCCTGGGAATCAAGAGGTGAGGGGGAGGAGGGTGGTGGCCCAGGGGTCTGTACCAGGAGGAAGGCTTCCCACTCCAGTCTGCCTCAGGCAGCCACTGGAAAATCAGGTTTGGCAGCTTCGGCCTTGTGCTGCTCCAGGGCTGGAGGAGGGGTCCAGACTGCTCCTCCGTAGGTGGGTAGGTGGCAGAGACAGAGGGGGGTAGTGGTGCAGGGATGACGGGTGGAGATCCTCTAGTCCTACGTTTCACCAATCAAGTGGTTGGGGAAGCATTTCATAATCCTTTTGGAGTGTAAGAAGAACAGCTCTGGGTTGTAGGCAGGATCCTGGAGTTCCAGTCCCTTTTCTACTCTAATCCCTGGTGTGATCCTTGGGAAAAGTCCTGGCCCCTTTCTTGGCCTCAGTGGGACTTCCCAGAAAGAGGTTCTATAAGATTAGTTCCCCATCCCCCAACTCCTGCCCTTTGGATTCTTCTGGAAGTGTGACTCAGGGGAACACACAGTCAGAGGGTTGGGGTCAGACCAGACAGCCTCTAGGGTGCCAGGCTTGGATGTCCTTTGTTACTAATGGGTCAATGGCCGGAAGCCCAGCTCCAACCCCACAATGCAATACTAGTCACTCCACCCTTACCAGGGCCCCCACTTCCGGCCTCTATTCCTTCCTCCTCTCTGGGGGGGTGGCTGCAGGGATCCCTAGGGAAGAACTTCCACATTGCCTTCACTGTTCTTAACCCTCTCTTCCCTCGTGACCATTTGGCCAGGCCAGTCTCCCGCTGAACTTTCTTCCCCTGGGATCCTGGGATAGACCAGAAAGGAAGGACTGTAAAGGAGCCTGCTACCCTCAGATACTGGAGCTCAAATAACCATTTTGGGAGAGGAAGGATGGACTCAGTGCTGGGGCCTAAGACTGGACTGTCTTCTAGCTCGAGGAAAAATGGAATCCATCTCCCTACCCAGCCACCTCTTTACTCTTCCTCACTGATCCAGAGAAGTGAGCCCAGAGCTGAGATTTGCAACTTTTGGAAAACACACAAAAACCCAGGCCAATGTTACCATGTCAATGACAAAATTCATTAAACAATAAAAGATTATGAAATTCTAGATACGTAGAATCCACAGCCATGGAATCCAGGCATCACAGAATTGTAGCATGGTAGAATCTGAGTTTCAGAAGCTTGGGGGGCTGGAGATTTAGCTTAGTGGTGCCACCACCTGCCTTGCAAGCGCAAGGTCCTGAGTTTAATCCCCAGTACAAAAAAAGAGTTTAGGAATCCAGAATGGTGGTATCACCGAATTCCAGACCACAGAGTTAAAGTATCCTTGAACTGGAAGTCTTGAGAAGTCAATTAATGAAGCCCTTACCTTCAAGTGGATGTCTAAACCTGGATATGCACAAAGGAATTTACATAGGAACTCTGAGGGGAGGCAGAAAGCCTGAGACATATGAGTTTAGAGTGAAGTAATAAACCTGCAATGAACCAAACAGAAGACAATCAGGACACATTTCTTCTTCCTGAGGATAAGGGACAAGAGTGTGGCAGGTGGAATTTATAGAGTGGCACTATAAAAACAAAGAAAACATATCCTAAAGAAAGAAGCGGGGCCTGGTGTCATGCACTATATAGTCCCAGGACTCAGGAGGCAAGGTGGGAGGATCACTTCAGTTCATGAGTTCGAGGCCAGCCTGGACAACATGGCAAAACCTTGATGCAAGGAAAAAAAAATCACAAAGTAGCT